CTTCTCTGATATTCCTACTCTGTGTGTGTTATACCTTTTGTAATTGTCCCACAGTCCTTGAATATTCCCTTTTTTAAAAAAAATCATTTATTTGAGAAACAGATAGAGCATGAGTGGGGAAGAAGGGCAGAGACAGAGGGAGAAGCAGACTCCCCCCTGAGCAGGGAGCCCAATGTGGGGCTTGATCACAGGACCCCGAGATCATGACCTGAACTGAAGGCAGATGCTTAGCTGATGGAGCCACTCAGTCCTTGGATATTCTTTTTTTCTTTTCTTTTCTTTTCTTTTCTTTTCTTTTCTTTTCTTTTCTTTTCTTTTCTTTTCTTTTTTTCTTTTCTTTTCTTATTTTTTTCTTTTCTTTTGTCTCTGTTCTCTTTGCCTTTCAGTTTTCATAGTTTCTGTGGAAATACTGTCACAGATTCTGTCCTCTGCTGGATCCAGGCTCCCAGTAAGCCCGCCGAAGGCATTCTTTCTGTGACAGTGTTTTATCTCTAGCATTTCTTTTTCTTTTTTTTTTAATTTTTTTTTAATTTTTATTTACTTATGATAGTCACAGAGAGAGAGAGAGAGGCAGAGACACAGGCAGAGGGAGAAGCAGGCTCCATGCTCCAGGAGCCCGATGTGGGATTCGATCCCGGGTCTCCAGGATCTCGCCCCGGGCCAAAGGCAGGCGCCAAACCGCTGCGCCACCCAGGGATCCCCATATCTCTAGCATTTCTTTTTCCTTCTTTGGAATTCTCATCTCTGCTCAAGTTGCCCATCAGTTCTTATTTGCTGTCTACTTTATTCATTAGAGCTTTTAGCATCTTAATTATCATGGTTTTAAACTCCTGCTCTGATCATCCCAACATCCCTACTGTGTCTGAGTTTGGTTTTGATGCTTGATCTTTTTTGTTTCTTTCTTTTCCTTTTTTAAAAAGATTTATTTATCCATGTATTCATGAGAGACACACAGAGAGAGGCAGAGACCCAGGCAGAGGGAGAAGCAGGCTCCCTGCGGGGAACCCGATGCGGGACTTGATCCCAGGACCCCAGGATTACGCCCTGAGCTGAAGGCAGATGCTCACCCACTGAGCCACCCAGGTGCCCCTGCCTGCCAGTTTTTAAGAACCAAAAAAAAAAAAAAAAAAAAGTGATTGGCTGAAAATGTCAAGTAGAGAAAAGAATTTTGGGGGGTTAGAAATGGAAAATTCAGGCTTTTGCTGGAAGTTTCAAAGGTGCCTGAAAGAGAAAGTTTTGACTGATGTACTGGCCACATGTGGAAGAATGGTGTTGCTGAAAAGCCCGTGGGCCAGCAAAAGGCGAACCGAATTCTGCTTGCACAATACCCGGTTGTGTGTCCGGACCAGTCACTTCATTTCTGTAAGACTCCCTTTCTTACCCAGAAACTGGCTATTGGGCACCTACCGGAAGCTGTGGTGGGTGGGTGGGGGGGAGAAAGTGGTGATTTGTATGAAGTGTGTACAGAAGGCACATTGTGTACATAATAGAGAAGTAACATTTTAGATCATTATAGAAGTACATGTTTTCCTTCCTTAAACTAGGAAGAGAAACTGAAAGAATGTTGGCTGAATTCTAGAAGAATACAGGAAGCTATTCAAAGTCACACAGTGTAAACCGGGCTGCAGAACATTAGGTGGGAAGCAAAACCTGGGCAACATAGGAAACATGATTCATTACTCAAATCTGTCCGAAGATTCTGGATGCATCTGGCAAAGCGTAAGAGGGTGAGCATTTCTCCTTGGAGTCTTGTCGCCCCTGGGAGATTTCTCCCTTGAGAGAATCATTTTATAATATAGTAATTGAGAAGTAAGAAGGAAGCATCTTACTAAAAGCAGTAAATGGTTGGGTAGCAAACCTTTATTTTATTTTATTTTATTTTATTTTATTTTATTTTATTTTATTTTATTTTATTTTATTTTATTTTATTTTATTATTTTATTTTATTTTTAAGGAAACTCTATGCCCAACAAGAGGCTTGAACTCACAACCTTGAGATCAAGAGTCACATGCTCAAAAAAAAAAAAAAAAGAGTCGCATGCTCTACTGACTGACCCAGCTTAGGGGGTGTGGGGCCCTCTTTTTTTGGAGGTGGGTAGCAAATCTTAACCCGTTGTCATGCGCACCACTAAAAAAGTCTATGTACTGCTCATCACCAGGGTATCCTTTGGTGGCTGGGAGAGTGACCGTATGCAGAGCACAAAGAGGCCCCCTCCCCCTTTGAAAACTTCCATCTTCTGTTCCTCCCCCTTTGAGGGAAGTGATACGCTAAAATTAAGCCGTGGCTTCTCATCGTGGTTAGCACCATGCACTTGGAGCCCGCCTGTCCTGGATGTGCAGCCTGGCCTGGCCACCACTTATCCCCGTGTGACCTGGGCTGAATTCGCTGACATCCCTGGGCCTCCGTCACCTCGTGTGTGAAACAGCAGGTGTTGCAAAAATGGGATGTTGATAATCCCCGAAGAGACTCTCGCTCGGCACCTGAGGGAGTTTAGCTGTCATAATTTCTAGAAAAGAGGGGGTTGGGTACGTTTCCAAAGCCTACATGCTTCCCCGGACACAGTGACTGAGAAAGACCGCGGTGGAGTTAGAGAGACGGCCCAGAACACATCTAAAAAGCTGGGAAAATAGGGAATTTGGGATGATCAAGAGTGATCTGGTCACCTGGAAGAGAAGCCAACACCCTCCTGTGGTTTTTGTGTTCCTAGAATCACTTCTGCATCTAGGTTTTAAGCGGACAAAGATGGAAAGAGATTGAGGAAGAGCCAAATTGAAGGGGAAACGGGCTCCAATCTCCAGGAGAAGCCGGTGGAGCTCTGCTGCTTCCAGGCTGTGTGGGGGGCAGGTGAGGCTCTTACAGCACCCACCAAGCCCTGGCTCTCACTGTGTGGCTGTCCCTGCCTCGGTCATCACCCTGACCCCAAGGGGTGCAGAGCTGCCGTCAGGGGGGTCACACTGGCTCTCAGGGGAAGAGGGCGCAAGATCCCACTCCGGTTATTAAGCACGCACGTGTGTCCCAGTACATACACAGATATGCAGTAGATCGGTGGTGTTAACATCTCCTGGGGGGCAGTTAGGGGAAAAAAAAAAGTCTACAAAGCTTCCTTAGGGGGGTGCAAGTGAAAAGCATGCTGGGTGGCACCGGCTGACACTGACATAACAGGGTGGGAGGAACGTGGGAGAGGGATACCCCATAGGAGGCTAAAACTGTTGGCACCCCCGAAGGTGGGTGGGGGTGGGAGGAGACTTTGTGGGTGCAGCAAGCCTGATAAATAAAGTAGAAACCTCCCCTGCACAAGGAACATCACTCTGCCCTCTTCTTCCCCTGCCCAGGTTGGAAGGCTGCATTGCACAGGGAGAAGAGAATCAACCTGTTGGGAATTCTGGCTCCGCCCTTCACTCGCTGTGTGGCCTTGGGCCGGCTGCTGACCTCTCTGAGCCTTGTCCAGCCCCGCAGGCTAGCAAAGTGAGAGGCTGTGCCCGGTACTGGGGAACAGCAGGTGTTCGGTAAATGCAATGCCATTTTCATGTCATCCTCCTGGTTGAACAGGGGGCAGGTGAGCCAGTAGTGGCTGAAATTTTCTGCAAGACAAATGAATTCCTTTGAGAGGAACAACTTCTTCTTCTTCTTCTTCTTCTTCTTCTTCTTTTTTAAATTTTATTTATTTATTCATGAGACACACACACACACAGAGGCAGGGACCCAGGCAGAGGGAGAAGCAGGCTCCATGCAGGGAGCCTGATGTGGGACTCGATCCCGGGTCTCCAGGATCACGCCCTGGGCCGAAGGTGGCGCTAAACCGCTGAGTTACCCAGGGATCCCCCAAGAGGAACTTTTATACATGGACATTTCGTTCAAATTTTGGTCCTTCTCTCTTCCTTCTAGGCTTTTCTTCCGAAACTCTGGCTCTTAATTTTCTTCTGAAGTTTCTGATAATACACGTCCTGAGGATGCATTCTGTGCCCAGCATTGCACGCACGTTATTTTATTTAATCCTGACAGCAGCCCTGTGAAGGCTTGCAACTGATATTCATCAGTTTTTTTAAAAGTTTTAGCCATTTTAACAGGTGTGCAGGGGATCTTGTGGAGATTGAAGATGTTGGACATCTTCTCATTTGTTTATTCGTCACAAGTAACTATTCTTTTATTGGTGTCTGTTCTAATCTTATGCCCATTTAAAAGTATTGGGTGGTTTGGGGTGAGGGGCCCGGCTGGCTCAGTTGGCAGAGCATGCAAATCTTGGGGTTGTGAGTTCCAGCCCCACCCTGGGCGTAGAGAATACTTAAAAAATATTGGGTGATTTGCTTCCTTATTCCTAAATTTTGGAGGTTTTAAAACTTGTATTCTGGATACAAATATGTGATTTGTCAGATAGATGATTTGCAACTAATTTCTTTTACTCTGTGGCTTGCCTTTCTGCCTGTTCACAGTGTCTTTCGCACAGCGCAGGTTTTAATTCAGATGACGTCCAATTTATTCCATTTTTCTTCTGTAGTTGGAGGTGTTGTAGCTGACGTTTTGAAATGCCACGAGCCAACCAAAATGCATGTGCGGGCCACATTGATCCCTCAGGCCCACACTGAGGTAGGATTTTTAGACTAGAAGGAAGCTCACGGGCTGTGAAAGTTGTGAAAACCTGCTCCTTGGGTGTCCCACAGCGGGGACCATAATTGATCGAGGGCCCTGGGAGCTGCGCTCTGGGATCTGCATTTGTCCTAACTCCAGGTTCCTCTCAGGTTGTTCCTTACCTGCGACTGCATGCCACAGGGGTATTAAAGCAGGCTCATTTCTGGGAGACATGGGGCTTTGGCAAAACTTTCTGAGGATGGCTTACAGTCTCAGATCTTTCTTACCCACCCGTTCTTTCTTCCTTTTTTCTCCTCTGCAGAGATGGGACCAGTGCGTGGTCTGCCTCTCTCCCAGCCTCCTCTGGCTTCCTCCCCATAATCCCCTCCTATGAGCCCCCCCCCCACCCTGCGCCCCCCCACCAGGCATCTTGCATGCCTTTTCCCAACCTGGCGTCTGCTAGTCTGCTCATCAAAAGAAGCAATCCAATACGGGGGATCACTTGCTTCAGGAATCCACCACCTCACCTGCCATGCCTGGCAGGTGATATAAATGAGGACAGCAGTTCAGGTGAGGACTGAGGTGAATAGAAACCCCAGGCCCCGTTTCATGAGGACAGCTTCTATCTGGCTCTGACTGTGGCCAAGTTGGAATGTGAGCCCAGGGTGAACATCATTCGATTTTGAGAGAGAGGGAGAGAGAAAGAGAGAGAGAGAGAGAGAGAGAGAGAGAAACTACAGAAAAGTTACAGTCCCCAATTCAATCCTCTCATTTGGCAGAAGAAGAAATCAAGGCAGGAAAGAGAGGTGCCTTTCGTCACTCAGGGCGCATACGTATTGGGTGGCAGAAGGTGGCCAGCATCCAGAGATGCCAGATCTTCATCCAGCTCTTTCCTTTTCTTCCTCTCTATTCATTATTGATTGAGGCTGTGGGTCTGATTAGTTCTCTATGACTGTGTAACAAATTATCCACGCACACAAAATACAGCAACTCATAACAAGGTGCTCAGTTTCCGTGGGTCAGAATCAGGATCCTGCTTAGCTGGGTCTTTTGCAAGTCTGCATTCAAGGTATGAGCCTAGGCTGGGGTCTCATCTGAAAGCTCAACTGGAGCTTCCAAGCTCATGTGGCTCTCGGTAAGGTTCAGCTCCTCCAGAGGTGGGGGACTGAGGATTTCAGGTCTTCTGCTGTTGGTCAAAGACCAGGGGCATTTCCTTGCCACTAGGCTTTCCCCCTTGGCAACTGGCTTCATCAGAGCGTGAGAGCTGAAAAGGCAGTAGAGAGAGAGTCAGCAAGCAAGATGGAGGTCACCATCCTTTGTAACCCAACCATGGAAGTGACATCCCATCATCTGTGAGTATTCCATGTGTTAAAAAGTCAGTAGGCCAGCCCACACTTGAGGGAAGGCATCACCCAGAGATATGGATACCAGGAGGTGGGGACCACTGGGGAGCCACTGCCTGTCTCGTGTTCCAACATCCTTCTTGGAAAATGGGAACTCCCCAATTGTGCTTGCTTTTCTCCTCTAAGCCAGGAAACTACTTTTGAGGGGAGAGGTCAGGGCTTTATATCAAAACAAAAATAAGTGCTGGTGTAACTGGGGAAAAAAGTTGTAAAGGGAGAACCAGGTTAATGGGAATGAGAAGGAAAGAAGTGGCAGGGGTAGGGTGTGGGGGGCAAGAGGAAGCTGCAAGCCAGGGAGGCAAGACCCTCCATTGCCCCTCCCTGCGGCCCTCACTGTGCTCTCTTTGCATCTGTGCCATGCCACAGGCAGGGAAGACTAATGGATTGTTTTTTAGCAAAATTCAGGACATGGCTTTTGCAGAGGTTATTTGCTCTCTGGATGACTACATATTTCTCCTTCCAGCACAAAGCATGTACAAAATGGTTGAGAAATACCCGGATCAAAACAAAGAGGCCGTCTCCTTTGCGTACGGGAAGCGCGCAACAATAACTAAAATGGTTGCCATTAATATTTTTTGAGGACTGGCTGCACAGCCTGCCTCCAGTCCCGCGGCTCTGCCCCCCTGAGTCCTCAGAACAACTGTGAGGTGGGTGTCAGTGGATATCCATTTCACAGAGAAGAAACTGAGGCTCCCGGAGATCGTGAGACTTGCTAACAACCCAGCCAGATGGGGCTGGAGCAGGAGCTGACCCATGTTTATTTTCACTCCAATATCCTCTGCCAGAGCATTTCCCGAACTTTATTCCTTCATGTATAAACTGTCACAACTGCTGCCAAACCCAGGCCCACTTATTCTACTCTCACATACAGACACATGGTATTACCCTCTGTCCCGACAGTTGATGGCCCAGGCTCTGGACCGGGACAGGGCTCAATCCTGAGCTGCTCACACACCAGATCACCCTGCACAAGCTGCTGACCCCCTCTGAACTGTAAAGTGGGGTGCATGGGCTCAACTTGCTGGGTGACAGAGACACCCGGTGAGATTGTGGGACTAAATCACAGGGCACATTGTAAGTGCCCCATGAATATTTTACTGAAGGGACCCTCAAGGAACGGGATCTGTCTTTACCAACTCTTCTCAACGCTGGATCCATGGTTAGCACATTTCCAACAACATCATCAATATGAAGGAATTCCTTAGTACTTTCCATGACCTCCCCTAAATTTGCAATTAAGTATTTGTTAAACCTGGAATGCAGATTTAATGTCCTATAGTTTGAGATGACATCAAAAAGCCTTGTTACTCCGGATAAAATCAGGGAAACGAGATAAATACATCTGCTGTAGTGGTTTTATTTTATTTTATTTTTTCCTTCTCGCTTGTGGAAACCACAATGACAGTATAGCATCATGATTAGATAGAGATTCGGGGCTTCATAAGATCTGGTTTTGATTTCTGATTGCTCCGTTCATCGGCTTTGTGACCTTGGTTCTCCACTTCAATTCCATCAGGTCACTCGGGAATGCTCCTAGCTGTAAGCAGCAACAACAATAACCCAACAGAGACTTCAGCGAACAGGTTATTATTTTTTTCTCTCACTTAAAAGGAAATCCAGAGGCAGGCAGTTACTATAATGTTTTGGTGGCTTAAGAATGTCAGAGCTTTGCAGCTCTCTCTCAGCCCTTCTTCCTCTTTTTTTTTTTTTTTTAAGATTTTATTTATTTGAGACAGAGAGAGAGGGCGCCAGAGAGAAAGCACGAAGTAGGAGGAGGGGCAGAGGGAGAGGAAGGAGCAGACTTCCCCTGAGCAGGGAGCCTGATGCAGGCCTGGATCCCAGGACCCGAAGGGCACGACCTGAGCCAAAAGCAGGTGCTGCACTGACTGAGCCACCCAGGAGCCCTTCTCTCAACTCTTCTTGATGCTTGCAGGATGTGTCGCCCACAGCACCCTCCTGACAGCGGACCTAGGGGCATCTTTTCCTTCCTAAGACACCAAACCCTGCCCACCAATCTCCTGCCTGTGCTGCACTGGCTTGAATTGTGTCATATTGCCAAGTGGCAAGGGAGCCTGGGGAAGGCTGTAGCGTGGATGTGGGCGAGAGGGAGGGGCCAGCGTGAGGAATGAATGAGGTGATGCACACATCTGGGACAGGGAAACTTGATTTCAGGGTCCTGCAGGGAGTGTCAGACACATGGCAAAACTTGCTTTTTCTACCAGACAGGAAGCTCCACAAGGGGAGGGTTGTTACATCTTTCTTATAATCCTAGCTTGCTGCCTAGAACATGGATGAACGTAGGAGGCTGCTCAGTAAATATTTGATAAGTGAATGAACAGTTCATGATAATTGGGTGCATTTCTCTAGCTTACCATTATTCATCATTCTCTCAGAAAACATTTATTCAATGCCTATTAAATAAACATCAGAACGTCAGATGTTTAGTCTGTACTAAAGCCAAGACTTTTGTCTGCGTGTTATTGATTGCTCGCTGTGTAACAAATTGCCCCAAAATGTAACGACTTAACACACATTTCTTACCTCATCTGGTTACTGAGGTTGGGAATCGTGGATAGTGGGTTTGAATGGACGGTTCTGGCTCAGGGCCTCTTACGAGCAGCCAAGATGTTGGCCGAAGCTGCCAACATCTTCAGGCTTGAGTACATGCAGTTGGAGACTCTTCTTCTAAGACGGCGTCCTTGCATGGTTAGGAGCGGGAGGCCTTCATTCCTCACTGTGTGGGCCTTCCCCTAATTCTGCGGGAGCGTTCTCACAACAAGGCAGCTGGCTTCCAGACACAAGGAACAAGAGGCGAACAGCATTGTATTTTATGACTAGTCTTAAATGCCACCCAATGTCACTTGCAGAATATTCTACTCCCCAGAAACAAGTCACCAGGTCCAGCCTACACTCAAAGGGAAAGCAAACAGCCTCTGCCTTTTGAAGGAGGGGAGTATCAATGGATTCATGGAATTCATGGGCATATTTTAAAACCACCACTGTCTGTTCTTTTTTTTTTTTTTTTTTTTTTTTTAACCACTGTCTGTTCTGTTCAATGCTCTATTTCTAGCATCAAGATGTGCTTGGCTCATGCAGTAGGTGCTTAATTAGAGCTGGTTCCAGTCTGTAGGCCTTGAAGATTTTACAGTTTGGGGGATTTCCTTAATAAAAAGAACACAGGTTAGTCATAAAAGTTAATATTTAATTTGAATAAAAGGAGACAATACTACAAACTACAAAATTTGTTAACCTGAAAAATAACATTTTTTATTACAGTCAGTTTAGAAAGTTTCTTTTGGCTTCTCTGCTCATCACTACTTAGGTGATGTAAATTTTTGGAGTTCTTAGGTCAAATTTGGGAAAACATCTCTCAGTTTTCTTCTCACATATGACCTCTTTAAGATTTCAGGGCAATTCAAGTTTTCTTGGGCAGTGAGGAATCTCAGATTCTCCTCAAATGGTGACGCCCATTAAGCAGTTTGTTATTCTCCTGGGTAAAGATGGACCGTGCATTTTATGTTATTTTTGTCAGGGCAGTATTTTAGGAAGCACGTGATTTTTTTTTTTTCTGGGTGATCATAGATCATTGACTCTTTTAGGTTAATTTTATATGTCGACTGGATCACAGGGTACCCGGATATTTGGTTAAACTTTATTTCTGGTTGTGTGTGGGAGAGTGCTTCCAGATGAAATTAGCATTTGGATGGGTAGATTCAGTAAAGCACGTTGCCCTGCCCAGGGTGGTTGGGCATCATCTAATCCCTGGAGGGTCTGAATGGAACAGAAAAGAAGAGGAAAGCAGAATTTGGCCCTTCCTGCCTGATTGTGTGGGCTGGGACATCTATTCTTGCTCCCAGTGGTCCTGGTACTGGGGCCTTTCAGTTTAGGCTGGATCAAACCAGCTCTCCTGGATCTCCAGCCCGCAGATGGCAAATCATGAGACTTCTCAGCCTAATTGTGTGAGCCAGTTCCTTATAAGAAATCTCTTCCTATACACTTATATTCAATTGTTTCTGCTTTGCGGAAGAATCCTAACGCAACGATTAAATAACCCAATAGCTTGTCATTTCTTTAATTCAAAACTGCCTCGTGTTCTTACCAGTATGACCTATATTCCATTTTGACAGAGAACTCACCAGAGTTCCACAGTCAAGGTGTATCACATATCATAATATTCCCATAATATTTCATAATAATTCCAACCTGACATGCTGGAAATGCACTAGATATGAATGTCCCGTGTGTCTTCACACCTATTTACTATTTGTAGAACTGTCACAATGAAATCCAAATGTCAATGTCCATATATACAGTTTTATTGGACTACAGCCACTCTCATCTGTTTACTTACTGTGTATGGTTTTTCTATTTTGGGGTTTTTTTTTTGCACTATAATGTCACAGTGACTAATTGTGGCCTATAAAGTCTACAATGGTTACTATTAGGCACCTTACAAAAAACTCTATTGACTGACCCCTGTCCTATGGCAAAGAGTAAGAGACCACTGTCCTTTCAATGTCACTGAAGCATTGGCCATTTTTCAGTCCCTAATGCACACCAAGCTGTGTCCTCACTGGAGACAACTCCCTGCTATTCTTTCTGCCCAGAACATTCTTCTTTCTCCCAGCCATTTTTTTGTGTGATCATTTTCATCCTTCAGACAGCTTCATCTAACTAGAGACTTCTTTGGTCTCCTGTCCAAAATAGGTCTTCACTACTGTTTTTTTTTTTTTTTTTAAGATTTTATTTATTTATTCATGAGAGACAAAGAGAGAAGGACTTGATCCCAGGACCTCGGATCGCACGCTGAGCCAAAGGCAGATGCTCAACCACCGAGCCACCCAGGTACCCCCTCCCTACTGTTCTTAACCTAGTTTCCTGTTCTTTTCCATCCTGGTCCGGCCTGTGGTTTGTATGATTGATTTGCCTTCTTGTTAGAAGCAGCTGCCCCTTTTACTCCATAAAACAAACTGTCAGTAAAAACTACATGTCTTACCATGGGTAGGGGGGTAAGAGTGTGGGCTCTGAAATCAGAGAGCCCGGGTTTGAATCCTGAATTTGTCACTTACCAGTCATGGAAGCTTGGGTAAGTCATTTATGCTCCTGCTTCCTCATTTTTCTTACCTGTCAGTTGGAAAGAAGAACCACAGTAATTGTGACATTAACTTTATAGGGTTAAATAAACTGATGTAGGTAAAGCACTAAAAATAGTGCTTGGCTTATGGTAAGCACTTGACTCAAATCCGCATCTACAAAGTCTAGTACAAAAGAACTCCAAGAGCATCTCTTTAACGAGTGAACCTTTTTTTTTTTTTTTTTTGGATGAAGCATTTGTGGAATGAAGGCTTTATCTAGTGCTGAATAAATAAATGAGTGCCTTCTACCTCTTTTATTCCTCAACCATATGCTGCTTCATTTAAACATTATGGGCCTCAAATTTCATTTGGTGCATCAAAGGCTATAATTGACCTTAATTTACATAACAAAGTCAAATCAGGACGGCAAGTGTTTGAAGGATCTTTTAAAATTAAATTTGCGCCCCGCCCCCCCACCCCCTGCAATTTAGTAACTGTATTGGTATGCCCATGGCCAGATGAAGACCTGTAAGTATTATGGGGCCAACATCAGTCAACTATTGCCACAATTATGCCACGTAACAAATCATTCCCAAACTCAGTGGCTTAAAACAGTAATTATTTAATCTCACAAAAACATCTGCAAGCTAGTTGATGTTCAGATGATCTAGACCCCACTAAGCTGGGCTTCCAGTCTTGGGTCACAACCAGGCATTTTTCATCCTCCTCGGATGAGCAGACTTTTGCTCCTCATGTCAGTGTTGGAAGCCCAAAAGAGCATGATCCACCATGCAAATCACTTCAAGGCTTGGTGGGAATCGTGCTTACTAAGGGCCTTTTGGTTAACAAAGTCACAGGAGCCAAGTCCAACTTGTAGTTGTACTACAAGTCCAGCAGTGCAGGGAAGTATATTCCACCCAAAGCAGGAGCGGTGGATTATGTTCTGAAAAATAATCCATATCATCTCAGGATCTGCACCCAAGTGAAAATTAAAACAGAAAAAGCCAAACTGGAATAAAAAATAAAGTTGCGTTTTTCAAAGAGATAAAAGCCTGTGTTTGTTGAAATTGAAAATAGCTTTTCTGAATTATCTGGTTGTCTCCTCTGGCAGGCAAGGAGGGATGGTGGTGGTGTCCTTGCTTTTCTGGAATTTAAAGTGTGTGTCTAGTCTGATGA